TGTTTGATATCGCCACCTTTCTTGACTCAGAATTTACATGCTACCAATTAGAAATCCTTTTCTAGGCTCGGCACCTGTGGCTCAAGTGGCTAAGGCGCCAGCCTCATACACCTAAGGTGGCGGGTTCGAATCCAGCCCCAGCCCGCCAAACAACAATGATGGCTGCAACCAAAAAAATAGCCAGGCACTGTGGCGGGCGCCTGTGGTCCCAGCTACTTGGGAGGTGGAGGCAGGAGACTCGCTTGAGCCCAGGAATTGGAGATTGCTGTGAGTGATGCCACAGCACTCTACCCAGGGAACAGCTTGAAACTCTGTCTCAAAAAAAAAAAAAAAGAAATCCTTTTCTATACCTATTCACACATATGTACTTAACAGTGTAAAATGTAGCATACATTAATTAAATTAATTAAAAATAATGTGTTCGGGGTAGCTAAGCATCAGCAGAATGCCTGTATCTGCTGTTAACCAACAGCAACAACAAGTAACAGCAGGCTCTCAGTCTCTTTCTATGATTCTGGGTTTTGGTTATTTGGGGTCAGAAGAAACATCAGAGACAGTCTAGGGACCTAGAAGTGGGTCCTCTAGAAATGAGGAGGCATTCTGCTGCATAGCTTTATAAAAATGCTTCCTCCAGAGCCATCTGCCTCATTAATGATGGTTTTTGTCTTAGAAAAAAGACATGAAGTCATGAAGACAAGAAGTCGTGTCAGTTTATTTTTGTAAACTGACACGACTTCTTGTTCTGAGTGCACACTTCAATAAACCTCTCACATTTATTCCACACCATCTGTAGGCACTTTTTCTGTAGTGTTTACAGTATTGTCTTCCTCATCACTATTATCCTGATTACCTTGATTCAGAGTCATTTTGGCTACTTAACCACTGGTAAGTGAATGAACAACTCTAGCCACACTATTTGTGTCAAAAAATTCTTCAGCCTGTTGGCATACCCTATTAAACACTAGAAATAAAAATTGTTTTGGTGGGCTTGGCACCTGTAGCTCAGGGAGTAGAATGCCGGCCACATACACCAAAGCTGGCGGGTTTGAGCCCTGCCTGGGCCTGCTAAACAATAATGACAACTGCAACCAAAAAATAGCTGGGCATTGTGGCAGCCACCTGTAGTCCCAGCTACTCAGGAGGCTGAGGCAAGAGAATCGCTTAAGCCCAAGAGTTTGAGGTTGCTGTGAGATGTGACGCCAAGGCACTCT